GCAGAAGGAAGCCTTTTTGGTTGTGTATTGAAAGATTGATAAAGAACAGAGCAGGGACTGCTCATGATGCTATCAGGACAGTACTTGATGTGTACAGACAGGAGAAGACTGTAACACAGGTCCTGAAGGCTCTTGCCAAGCATGAGAGGGAAGGTGGACATGTGCAGTTAAGATAGCCGGTTGATTGCTGTGTAATTTCGTCGCTTCGATTCGTCGCTTCAATTCGTTGCTTCGATTCATCGCTTCGATTCGTCGCTTTGGTTCCTTTGCTTCGATTCGTCGATTCGTCGCTTTGGTTGCTTTGGTTGCTTTGGTTCCTTTGGTTCCTTTGCCTCCGTTCCTTTGCTTCGGTTGCTTCCATTCGTCAGTTGCTTTGGTTCCTTTGCTTTTGTTGCTTCGATTTGTCGGTTGCTTTGGTTCCTTTGCTTCGGTTGCTTTGGTTCCTTTGCTTCGGTTGCTTCAATTCGTCGCTTCGGTTGCTTTGGTTCCTTTGCTTCCATTGCTTTGGTTGCTTCGATTCGTTGCTTCAGTTGCTTCGGTTGCTTCCGTTGCTTCCATTGCTTCCGTTTCGTGTTGTCGTTGTTGTCGTTGTCGTTGTTTTGTTCCTTGTTACTGCTTGTCCCCCTTAGTACATCGATAACACCATTAAAATAGTACGTTAACTGTGACTGCTTTTTCTTATCAGTAGTATTGTTAGTAGTAACTGTGACTGCTTTTTTGCTTGATTGCCTCAACAACAGGAGCAAGTTGAATGGCTGATAAGATGGCCCATTGTCATGGTTGTCGATTGTCGAGAATTACCTTCACGACTTGAGTTTATTTCACAGAATTTGCCTTGTCGAAATTTGTGAGAATAATTCTTCTCAACTGATGCGCATCAGTTGAGGTTTCGTGATGGATTTTGATACTGTGCTGGTGAGTAGGATGTTAGCGAAGTGTACGTACGTAGACTTGTACATGATTCTCTACTGTTGCAAAATTAGTAGTTGTATTCTTGATTGGTACCTGCATGGTATGATTATGGTATGATAGCAGTACTGCTTTGTAAGGTACCGGTACATTGCTTGATTCAGCATGAACAATAAGAAGAATAGAAACTAACAGTTCTTGTAACCACAAAACCCAGATCAACACCGGTTGTCGCGGTGGTGGATCGTGGCCACACTCAGACAGAAATCGATCTATCGAATCGGTAMAAAACCTCTCCGAGATAGTACGCATCATTGCTGAGCTATAGACGCTACTCATRAGGTGTTAGCGGGCTGGATTGCTATCGCGATCACAATTGAAAAATCACAGCTGTTGGTTGCCTCTCAACAGCGTGACGACCGACGCTACTCCGCGAGTCTTCGGAGCCCAAAAAAAGGAGTTTCAATTATCCTTTCGAGCTTGTGGTTTTGTGAATTCCAGAACACGAGTCAATTCGGCACGTTGAGGGCAGCATCAAAATAACCGTTGGTTGYCTTTCKGTGGAGGTGCTAAATGACAACKTTCCGAAAAGAATAGGATCATTCAACGAATGCCGACCGTGTCCACCGAAACACGAATGGTCTCACAAGCGGCGTCTCTATGAAGTGCTACGCTAAAAGAAAGGGTGAGCACCGATTGGTTCCTGCTAGGGTATACTCAGACGCGAAGCAGACTCCGGTTTGTTGTCGGGTTCCCGCTTGAATCTCTCTGCCAGGGAAATTGCCAGAGACATATGTTAGCGAGAGTATCTATTGGCTGATCCAATCTTGGATATTCGGATCCCAACTTATGGTTGAAACTCCTCCTGTCCCTGCAGCGTGCTTCGCATTGTTGAAAGATCTCTCTTGTGTACCGACGCCGTCGCTCTTCTAGAGTATGCTTGCCTCAAACAACGAAAAGCGTGGAAGAGACACAACAAGATTGGTGCTTTGCCTTAGCTTGTGCCGCAAATCGAACCGCTTTTTCCGTCGCAGTGGTTGCGTTCATTCCTTCCCATAATTTGAAACATTGAACAGCTTCAATACCGCAGCCACAAATCTATAATTGTTGAGAAKTGCGCATCAGCCCTYACTAAACAAACGATGAAACTCTCGACCATTTGTCACCTCAACTTCGGTTTTATCGCCATGGCGCCTTCCATTGTCCTCGCAGTCTCCGAGGTATGTATTTCATTGCGATGCATTGAATTTGTTGACACGGCAAAATGTCGCATTATTGAAATTGATTGCCCTGCTTGTTTTGGTGCATGTCTGTCGCAAATATGATGCCTCACGGAGCTAGAACGATGGTCGTATCACATTTATGATTTTGTGGCGTTTGTCTCYTGTGCAGAAACGCGACGGAAATCACGAAGTTGTACGCCACCGAAAGCTAGATCAAGGAGAGGAAGGCCTCACACCCAAATACGGAAAGTACGGAAAACATGGAAAACAYGAGAAACTCATGAAGGGCAAGGCGGAAAAGGCTATGAAGTTCGGCAAGARGGAGAAGGATTCGAAGTACGGCAAGAATGRTAAGAAGGAAAAGGCCGAGAAGTATGACAAGCATGATGGGCAGGAAATGATCGCAAAACATGCCAAGAAAGARAAGATGGAAAAGAAGTACAAAGCTCAGCCGGAGCACGACGACGACACTCCCTACCAAGACGATTATTTTGAAATGGATGACTACTACTTTGAGGAGGAATATTGCATTTTCGATGAGTTTCGTCCCCTCGCCGATGGCACCGAGGTGTGCGTTTCCGAGTTTCTGGAAAAAACGTACCTAGACATCGATGTTGAYGACGCGATGGACTGCACCGAAAGYATCGAACTGACCGCCTGGCACAAATACACTGCATGCTTTGCGTTGGAATATTACGAACCTAGCGTTTGCAACGAGTTGTTCTACCGAGCCGAAGAAATGTACCTTTGTTTGATGGAAGCGAACGGGTGGCCCGACGACGACTGGCACTACGAGGACGACATGTACTACGAGGAYGACATGTACTTTAACGACGACTTTCACTATCATGACGATGGCGACTGGGAACAAGATGATTATTATTCTAGATGCGTCTTTGATTTCGATTACCAACAGCATATTATCGGTTGCGTGGAATCTTTTTCAGATTCCCTTGCTTTGGACAGCGTCGGCTATTTGAATTGCACCCTTGACTTTTATTCAGACTAYTATGAGATATGCTATTACGGTGAAGAGATCGACCSTTCGACCRACACGACCTGCAACGCGTTCGAGAAGTGCGAGGCCATAAAGAACGCTTTCGAATACTGTGACTACGGTGCCTCAGTTGATTATGTCGAAATCTTGGAAGAGCAGCTCGATACGAGCTATGTTTTGGACACTATCMATAACGGCACAATTGACTTGGATGGTGCCCTTGTCGCTCTCGACGGCTACACCAACTCGAGCGAGATGACCGAATGGGAATGGTCAGACAACCTTCAATGCGTGGAATCCTATTTTGCCCCGTACATCGAYGGATATTGCTATCTGGGAGACGAAATCGAACTTCTTGGCGGTTGTATCAGCACGTTYGCGGGCGCCTTCGACGACCTCGATGCGGAGTCCCTTATGAATTGCACCGAGAATTTTTGGGATGCCTTTTATGRCCGCTGTTACTACTATTACTACGAGAACGACCCTTTCACCGCCCCCGCTGTCTGCGAGCAGTTTGAACTATGCACCACCGCTTTGCAAACCATCGAATACTGCTTTGGCGACAAMCTGGGATACGGTTTCTCGAACTACATCGAGGCCTTCGAAGTAGACCCGGAATTTGGCCCGTTGCTYCAGTCGCTCTATGACGGGTCTTTCAATGCGCTGGATGCGCTCGGGACCCTCTACGGTTATACCGGGGAACTAACCAGCGAACCCGGATGGGAAGGCTTTGTCCTTTGCATCGTAGGTTTTTRAGGATTCGATTGAATCGCCAGGGATCAAGCCGGCGTTATTTTTGTAAAGGTCTGGATTGGCCTATGCCCTTTACAGCGCCCTCGTGTTGGTGACTCTCATATAATATCTTATATTACTACTATATGCACAATACTAGCTYAAAAGAKTTTGTGATATTTTTTWWRAATTCTATTTGTATTGTTTGCRAAAAATATTGGTCTAGATCAAAATTGGATCGAAATGACTGGAGGCATCAAAATCGAAGGAGCAGCAAGTCCGGCAGGGCATCAAGGTCGTTGTCCAAAGAGAGCGGCTCCCTTTCTCCGCCGCTCGGCTCCTCGACCGACGATCCATGGTTGGAATCGTCGGAATCGCTCTCGCTCTCGCCGCTGCTCCGATCGGGCGGGCCGCCGGTAGCATCCCCCGCCCGGGGACAAGCCGGTGGCGGTGGCGGGACTCGGATGCCGGCATCGATTGCGTCGAAGTGGCCCCATCGCCGGGCGATCTGCTCGGACTCGGTGGTGCACCTCCTGTAGGCCAAGGCGAGCGCCACCGCAGCGGCATGGTCGCCGTCGCTGTCGCCGTCGCTGTCCCTCCTGGCGGCGTCGGCAGGGTCTCGTTGTCGTTCCCGTAGCTGCCGCCGCTGTCGCTTTCGTCTCTGCCTCTTCTGAAACCGAAAGACGGCGGACCGTGACGCCTTCATGACTTTTTTCTTGTGTTCCTTGACAAATCCTTCCACTAGGGATTCTAGGCCCCGGACGCAGTGCTCGTCGGTGGCACGAGCTTGGTCGTCGCGGCAAGCAGCACCATCGCACGAACTCGTCTCGGACGACCGGACAAAGTCGATCGTTCTTTGGATTTCTCTTCGGATGTTGCTGTAGTCGGCTCGCTGGAAATAGTAGGAGGAGTGTTCTTCCATWGTGTAGTCCCTGTGCGAAGGTACGGYGACTGTTTTGTTGCGCTCCGTATCAAAGGTGACGGCTTTCGCGCCGTGGGTTCTCTGTTTGGGCTTGTTTCTTGGTCGGTGGGTTGCGTACGGTTCGRCCTGCTCCTCTGCGYCGCAGACGGTGAGTTGTGCGGGCCTTGGCCGCTTCGATGGATGTGTTTGGTTCTCTCCCGCCGACTGCACGAGGAGAAAGTCYCCTTTCCTTTTCGCATCGTCAACGATCATACTTCCACTCAGCAACGGAGAGGAGATTGGGGACGGTTCATCTCCCACCATCGTTGTTGCCGCCGCACGTGTTATCGCAATTGCAATGGTGGCTTGATCGCTGTGATTTTGGGTTTCCTTTACCTTGCTTGGTGATTTGTCCCACGAAGCAAACAAACAAACCATGATGGTGCAAAACTACTATTATCAGATTATTGTAACAGTGTACGATTTCGTTTGTTCTCGGGGTTGATGTCGATGCCAACGGTTTTCCAGAATCCTYGTCTGTGACAATGGCACAAGGCAGAGGCGAATGTTCCCAAAATGGTGTTCCTGGTATTAAAAACCTGGCTGGGCATTATTTTGTGTGCCCGAAAAGAATTCAAAAGAGTCAATCGGTATTGTATTGTGCTAAAAGAGCAATACATTAGAATAGTCATAATCCCCAGAAACGTCATTATATATTTTATATAATGCCTGAGATAGCAAATACTAATTCGATAATAAAAATATCATTCGRATCGTGAAAACAATCGATTTTGTAAACATGAAATGACTTTTTCAGTGAAAATCTTTCGTCGCGCGCTACGGTACGGATTTTTCGGATTTGGAGAGCACGCACGAGTACGAGTAGTAAAGCGTGAGTGTAAATCCCGAGAAGATAGTGAATGACCTCATATGTACCGGCTAARTATCGAATTTGTTGTACTTTGTGAGCCTAAATCACGAGTAGATAGTGAATATCTCACTGTGCGGTCCGGTATAGTTGTACGTGAATTGCGCCTTTTAGGCTCACTCACTTGATTGCATTGGATTCGCGATAAAAATGGTGTGATTCCCGTCTGGCCCCTGGACTAAATTCACGATGACGGACTTCCTGGATTACGTTGGAGGCCTCAAGGAAGAAAAGAAAATAGTGCGTCGAAGTACTGATGCACGTGCAATGCGGTATGCATCTGGTAAGTTGAAGAACGACCCGGAGGTTGTGATGGCAGCAGTTAGTGTAGTCAGGATGGGATAGCATTGAATCCTGCATCCAATGAGATGCAGAACAACAGGAAGCTTGTGATGGAAGCAGCAATGAACGATGGACGTACACTGCGGTACACATCCGGTGAGTTCAAGAACGACTTGGAGGTTGTCACTATTGCAGTTTCTGAGGAAGTGCTGGCATTGCGGTACGCATCCCATGAGACGAAGAACAACAGGGAGGTTGTGATGGAAGCAGCAAGGAACGATGGACGTGCATTTCCGTATGCTCACCATGCGTTGAGAGGAAACGCTGACATAGCCCTGGTGGCCGTGACAGAGAACAGATCGGTATTGCGGTGTTGCTCCCAAGAATTCTTTGTTGGTGCTGCTGCTACAACTGCAGRTGCAGCTGTGGACAGAYCCGATGGCGCTTGGGTTGTCAACCGCTCGTCTCCACCATCAAACATTAGCTCTCAACCAGTGGCAATGTGTAATACAGTAGTAATATAATACGTCATGCAGTAATTACACTTATAAATTTACAAACACACATTCACGTACATGTACGTGTACATGAACATGAACATGTACATGTGCATGTGCATGTGCATATGCATACACATATACACCTTCTGTACACATACACGGTTGCGTGCCTACCATCAGGAAAACTCGGCGGCGTGGACTTGTGTTCCGCTCTCGCCKGGGGCGCCCGCGGGGAAAAGGGTCCCTGCGCCTTTGCTGGTCCGGCGGTACCAGCACACCGCCGCCAGGGCGACCAGCCCCAGGGTCAGGCCCGCAGAGATCCCAATGACCGCCGCCGCCCCGATGGACACCCCGTAGGCACCGCCACCGCCGCCTGCCGCCGAGACGGAAAGGAGGTAGTCCTCGACCGTCCTGGCGTCGCAGAGCCGGCAGTCAATSTCCGTGAACCGCATCAGCTGGCCGACGCTCTGGTAGGTGAGGCCGAGGTCCGGGTCGCAGACGGTCTCGTCRACGGCACAGAAATAGCGGTTCAGCACCGGTCCGTTGACGTCCTGGTTGAGGGCGTCCTCCACCTTGAAGCAGGCCCCGGTCCTCGTCTTGCTGCAGTCGCAGCCCGGGTGGGCCACGTCCACCGTGACGTCGATGGTGTCCCCGCCAAAGGMGTCGTCCCCCGCCAGCCCGAGGCACTCCGAGACCACCGCCACGCAGATGGACCCGTCCTCCGTGACGGCCCCAAACGCCAGGCTTGCAAGGGACCTTCCGTTGCAGCCAACGTACCTCGTCAGCGCCCCCCCGGTCCCGTAGTCGTGGTGGTCGTCCCTGTAGTTCCGGTCCCGCAGGATCGTGCACCCGCCGTCGGCGTTGATGTACTCGCTCTGTCCCTGGGAGGGCCGGACCCAGGTGCCCGGATCCCGGCACCCGTGCGGGGTCACCGCGCAGACGCGCTTGTGCCCCAGCAGGTGCGATCCGCAGTGGCCGATCGGGACGGACCCCACGCTGCTACAGGTGGGGTGGTCCACCACGGCGTCGAGGTCGAGGGGGTTGACAAACTCCTGGAGGGCCGAGCACGCCGACGGGTGCAGGACGCACGAGTCGTGGCGGGCCGAGCCCCCCGTGCCCCCGAGGTCCGGCGAGAGCCTGGGCTTCTTGCAGCCCGCCAGGGGAACCAGCGATGCGATGGGATCCTCGAAGGACATGGTTGGCGGGGGCGAAGCTGGAGCAGGAGCAGAAGCGACCGAGAGGAGGACGGAAGCAAGTCGGGGTGTGCGGGAGGGAGCTAGCTGTCTGTGACGAGTCGAATCAAATCAAATCGAATCAAAGGAAACAAAACCAAACCGAACTCAGTCTTCTTCTACGTCTATTACTCTTGTTGTGGTGGAGTGGAGTTGGTTAGGCGGTGGGCTGCGTCAATGATGCTGGGACCGTACGATATGCTATTCTTGTGTTGTAGAAGTACGACTACGAACAGAAAGGTATGTTGTGTCGTACCTACTGGTGCGAGTACTCGTACTCGTACCGCATGGAAGGAATACAGTAGCGTACGTACGGCACATACCAAACGCAAGACGAGGCCGACAGCATTTTTTCCTACCGGCCGGTACCGTACGGTACGGTACGGTACTCGTAAGGCGAAAACAATGATAGTTCCGATACTCCGTGCGTTGAGAGAGAACGCGAAGAACGCTTGGGCAATCTGTCTGAAACGGGAGTGGAAGGAACTACTTTAGCGCTGAACTGGGAACAAACGAAACCACGAAACACGAGAGAGAGGGAAGTTTTCTTCCATTTTTCTTGTCCTTTCAACAACAGAACTATTGTGTATTGTACCATCACCAACCCAATAGTACTAGCAGTGGGATCGATTGAATACTTTTTGTACTAATTTGGGGTCAGACGAAACAATCCCAACTCCAACACATATATTATCGTCCAATAGGTGAACTACTATCATCATGATTATAGACGTAACCCTCGGTGGTTCCAGCTCCCCAAAAGCACAACAAACGCTCATCTCGATCTTTCTAGAAAGAAGGAGGAGAAGAGCTGCTGCCGCTGTTGGTTGTTCCCAGCGGGGACTAGACGTCATTCAAGCCAGACATGGCGGAGTTGAAAGTACAACCAACGGAGCAAGACACCAATCCATGTTGTCTTCGTAGCATGCTTGCTACATACGATGCTTCTGCTGCTGCGTGTGGCATAGCGAACAGAGATAGTGCATCCGTGGTCCCACCGTAGCTTTGTAGAGTTGAGAAGGAATGTCTTTCGTGCATTGCATTGCATGCTGGTGTTGCTAGAATGGAATACCCCTTTGTGCTCTTTCGAGGCACGTTGTCTTCTCTTCTCTTCTAGACGGACCCGATCTGATCGCAAACCCTTGCGACCTGTCGATCAAAAAACCGATCCACTCGGTGTCGTCGCGGTTGAAGTCTCGGCTCGACGAAGGACACGCATTCGTTTTCCGAGACGAAACGCTCCTCCCTCTCGTTTGTTTGTTCGTCGTTTTACACTCCATACCAACCCAGCTCAGCCCGGCAGCTTTCGTCGAAGACGCTTCCAGGCCTTTTTTTGTTCTCTTTCTTTCTCTTCTTGGTGGCGTTCCCATTCGAGTTCCCGCCTCTCTTTTTCCCGCCTGGCTTGGTCTGCCCGTCGTTGTTTGGTGAACAAACTGCCCAGCGAAAACGAGCGATTGCTTCTCTGTGCTGCTGCGGTGGCTGGCGGTGGACGGCTACTGTTGTTGCTGCCGGGCACGGGACCCTCGGAGCGAACGGGAGCCCTTCCGGACGAAGACGACGGGGTCCCGTGCTGCTGATGCTGATGCCGTTGTTGTTGTTCTTGCTCGTGCGTTCGAATGTGTTGCTCTCTTTGTTGTTGAAGCCGCCTGCGCAACAATACTTGTTGCTCCAAAACGTTCCGTTCCCTGGCCGATCCCCTTTGCCGTTCTCGCTCCCGCAAGAATCGAGCCCGGTTCTCCGCTAGCAGCGAGGGCAGTGGTCTTCCCGGAATCGCGGGACAATCTGGGTCTGCCTCTGCTGGTTCCTCGTTCCGGTTCGCTGCCGGCGCCCCCGCCGAGGGCCGGCACCACCTTTCGCTCCACCTCGGTAGAGAACGGCGGTGTTCTCGGCGCCTCTGTTGCTTCTGCCGCTCTGGTGTGCCGGTTCTTCCCCTCGTTTCGTCGCGGAGCTTCTTCCAGTTCGGAACGGCCCGGCTGGCTTGGCAATGGGCCGACCATTCCCCGCAGCCGGAGGCGGGAAGGTCACAAACGTAGCAGTAGCAATTGGGACAAAAGGTTCGATTCGTTTGGGCGCGCCCGTCGTTCGCAAAAGGATGGACCACGCAGTCCTCCCGCGCGTGGGGAAAGTCCGAGAGAGCGTTCTGTCCCCCCCTCGAACCGAGTACCTCGACATCGCCGGTGTCGGAAAGACAGGCAGTGATCGGAAGGATGGGCAACGGAGGGGCGTCCACCACCTGCACTTCGTCGTCCTCGCAGCCGGAGCGGTGGTCGGTGGTGTCTCTTCGACTCCGCTTTCTTCCCGCGGAACGAAAATGGCGGTGCTGATAGTCGCGCTCGGAATCCTTCTCTTTGTCGCTGTTGCTGTTGCTGTCGCTCTTGTTGTCGTCGTGGGAATATTGCTGCGGACGGACCCCGCTGGGCGGCGACATTGAAATGATCGAGGACGAACGAGGGAAACGACTGCGATCCATCGTTGCTAGTATAGAACAATTTCGAGCTTCCGTTCTTGTCACTCTCTTTCTTCTGGTCTCTTGTTTTAAGCGGCTTGGATCCGAACCATAGGCCATCATTAGTAGTGTTAGGTCTCTGTCAACAGAGTTCCAGAGACAGCCTTGCAACCATCGGATTGCATTACTAGCAATCACCTCTATCCTCCTTGTTCTCCGCGTAAGGACTGTTCGGTTTTGATCGCCATCTCCTCTACCGGTACGTACCGTTACGGATAGTGTAGTGTGTGCGGTATGTAATCGTCTCCACGACCCCTTCTCCATGACGGGTGCCGCCGAAATTGAAATACAGGGTTAGGGTTTTGATTTTTGGTACTGTACAAAACTATGGAAAAGTACGGCTCAACTCGTGCTTTGTAGTTGGCACGTCCCGTTAAGTTTGCAACTACCTGGTACTTCGTACTTTTCTAGGCATCTCCCTGAGAGTGAATCTGTGATGTTCTAAATTGATGATCATGGACTACATCTTGTTTCGTTCAAAAACTATCTTAAATAACAATAATTTCCTATTCGTACACATAAGAGCAATCATCCCTCCCTATGGATTCAGTGTTCTCTCCCGAGAGGACACCGGAAAACGGAGTGACTTTGGATAAAGGACTTTCGTCGCATGAGTTGTTGATGAATGCAGTACACAATGCAATGCATGGATGAAATACAATAGCGTGTGAATTTAGAGGAAGAGGAACATGGAAGTAGCGGCGGCAACACCGGCAGCAACCATGGTGGACACGGAAGAGGAAGAGGAGGCTCCTCCCACAGGCTCGGCTCCGGCGTAGTAGTCTCCTGTCGCAGAGTCGTACAATCCTCCGACCATGTATCCGGGGATGCCCATGCAGTCGTAGGTGCTCTCGAAGGCTTTCTTGACGGCGGCAAAGTCGGTGGTTCCTTGGTTTCCGACCTTCATGTTGTCGGCAATGGTGGCGGCGGCGGAAGAGTTGCATCGGGCGACAATTGGGAGAACGGAGGCGGCGAAGATGGCTCCTTCGGCTTCGGACTTCTCGCTGTAGTCCTCGTTGTCCTGCTTCCATGCGTATCGGAGGGAGCCCTGGATGAGAGGGACAAGCATCAATTGTTCGATTTGTTCCTTGATGGGGCGGGCTTCGGAGCACTTTCCGTTCTTGATCAAGGCTTGTCCCTTGTTGAAGAGATCAAACATCATGGTGTTGACGGAGGAGGTTCCGGTGGTCTCGTCACCGAATTCACCACAGGTCTTGAAGTTGGCGCATCGCTTGTCGGCCAAGGCGTAGGCAAGCTTTCCAGATCCGGATCCGTCTTCTCCCTCGAGGGTTCCGGTGTAAAAGGCGACGGCCTCGTCCCACGCGTGGACGGGATCGTCGTTACAGTTTTCGATGGTGCACTCTTCCTTGCAGTCATCAAGGGCGTCTTCCATTTCGCGGATGACGTACATCCAGATGACCATGTAAGCGGTTCCCTTCTTGATGATTTGTTCATTTCCGGCGTTTCCGTAGAGGCTGTAATCGTTGTCAAAGTTGTTCAAGTTGGCCTTGTTTCCTGCGAAGGCAGCCAAAACGATTTGGTTGGCGTAGTCGTAGGCTCCGTAGTAGTTGTAGAATTGTTCGTAGAACTTGTACGGGCAGTTGGCGCACTCGGCCATCTTCTTTTGGGCAGATGTGGAGAATCCGGCGATGGATCTCTTGGCAACATTGTCGGTGGCAATGTCGTATGTGTAGGCGGCATCAGTTCCGTCAATGCTGAGAGTTCCACTAGCGGCGAAGCATCCATCGGTGTTGGTGCTCACGAGAGCTCCAACTTGGCATCCAACGTAGTTCTTTTGGCTGTCCGAAGTCTGGTATTGGACGGCAAAGGTGGTGGCTCCGGCAGCGTTGTCTTCGTAGGCCTTTCCAGCGACTTGGTTGCCGTTACTGTTGGTTCCCATGATTGGGGTTCCCTTGGGAACGGCAGCGGTCAAAGGAGCAGCCAGAGTGACTTCGGCAACCGACTTGGAGTTACCACCCTCGGAGTAGATCTTGAGGGCGTTCTCGTAGGATTCGGGAGTTCCGAGGGCCAATTGCTCCTCCATGGCAGCTTGATCCAAATCGATGGCATTCTGTAACGGTGTGAAGAATACATCACGCGGAACATAAGTTAGGCAAAAGAAGTTTAAACGCCTGATGGGCAAAAAGGTTTCGACACCTAATAAATTTCGTCGAACCACAAACATCTGATGCTCCGTTTACTCACGTGATCGGTCACTTGCGAATCAGGAGCATAGTTCGCGATTCTTTCGAAAGAGAGACGACGGCTGTCGGCGGCGCTCGACATGGAAGTCGAGGCCAAGAGGACAAGGGCAGAGGCGGCGGCGTTGAAAGAGACCATGATTAATTTAATTTTTGCAAGTTTTGCGAAATGAGAATTATGTGACAACAAATAACATCGAGAAAGAGCAAAGATTTACGGAATCCGATGCGACGGTCCTCACAAGATCAAAATGATGAGGATCGTTTGAACACTGGCACCTACATCACTACCAGATCATGAACCCTTCTCTAGGGCGCGTGCCGATTTCCACGAGGAGGCAGGGTTCTGCCGTAGGATGACGGTAGAGCCGTGTGGCATCGCGCATAAACCATCTGCACCATCCCGAAGACATGCGCAGCTAATGTTTGGATCATTTTTGTATTTCCTAAATAGAATTCTTTTTGATGGCTGAGAATGAAGCTCTAATCAAAGTCTCATGGCAGTTCATGACGGTCCCACTTCTGACCCATGCCCTAAAATTGGACATGCACTCCTTAGCATTTCGGATATTTCTGATTTCAATGAAATATCATTTATATTTTTTTAAATTCTACTTTGTATCTTGGGAGTACTAAAAATCCCATGCTGAACGCGTGTCTCTGATGTCATATTCAAAAATAATTCACTACACGTACTTAACGTTGAACATCTGGATAGGATTTTCAAAAGAATTCTCACTGAATGTAATTGAAGTTGTGACACATCGATGGAGGGCACTGTCCCCTTCCTTGCCGACCATGAGGTCCCCGGTGACGGCAACAATATTGGTACCAAAACGAGACTCGTGCTATTCTGATAGCGAACTGTTCTATGTCTGATGTACAGTAGGTCTCTGAGACCCGTACAATCATAACGGCCACCTTTGACGGCCAGTGGTATCTTGCAATACGAACAAGGGTTATGAAGTACATTAGAACTTGTTTCATCGGAAGCTATTACTTCGATACTAACACAGATCACAAGAAAACGAATTGGTTTTGATGGAAGCCATCGTTGAAATGGAAATATGCCTACTACAGGACATGGACGTCATAAGAGTTTAATTTTTTAAAATTGAGGATGGACTCACCCTAACATTCCTTCGGTCGTACCGGTATGGTTCGTATCATACTACCGATACAACATAGATTGAAAATTGGAACTGTCGAACTCCTTCATCAACACTAATACAGAGTTCGTGTGGGCTGAAACGCAGACCTCGGTTGATAAATTTCATTAGCTATGCTTACCGTAAATCGACGAGATTTTACGCTTCGACCTTGGCGCCGTTGGTGACACCCTGGGCCTCGAGGGCCATTTCGGTGAGCTCCTTCACCCCCTCGGAAAGATCATCGTAAGCAAACAAGCCCGATCCCGCAATGAAGCAGTTGGCTCCGGCAGCGGCACAGGCACCAATTGTTTCCTTGCTGGCCTTGATTCCACCGTCGACTTCGATGTCAACGTCAAGGTCACGGTCGACGATCCACTTGCGGATCTTTTTGATCTTGTCCGTCATGGTCGGAATGTAGGCCTGCCCTCCGAATCCGGGGTTGACGGTCATCACCAACACGTGGTCGACCATGTCCAAAACGTTTTCGATCATTTCTGCGGGGGTGTGCGGGTTGAGAGCGACGGAAGGAGATCCGCCGGCGGCGCGGATTCGGCCGAGGGCACGGTGCAAATGCGTGCAGGCCTCGACGTGAACAATCACGACACCGGGTTCTCCGTTCGGGCCCTTGGTTACCTCGACGAATTCTTCGAGCATGGCGTCGGTGCACCTTTCGCTGACCATCAGTTGGGTCTCGAAGGGCATGTCGGTGTATTTTCGGCACCAGCGGATCGTTTCCGGTCCAAAGGTGAGGTTAGGAACAAAATTTCCGTCCATGACATCGAATTGAACGCGATGACACCCTGCATCTTCCAACCTCTTGCAGTCCTCTCCGAGCTTTCCGAAATCGGCTGGAAGGACGGAGGGAATAATCTGCTCGTATGAATTGAAGTCGAAGAATATGTGAAAAAAACATGGTCAAGCTGGAATCCGGATCAAAACCAACAATCAACCGCGTCGACCTAGGTGCAACGATGAAGACTAACCTGAACTTCTCTGGGAGTACCGTACACGTTCAACGAAGTCGAAGTAGCACGGCTTGAACTAGAAATGGGCTGCAGTTTTTTGACAAAATTAAATCGAGGGTCAAAGTGGAAATAGGGATCAAGTGGGATTAGGTGAGGTGAGACGCTGCAAATAAAATCGCCATCGCAGTTCCTCGTCCACTCTCGACCAAAGACTTACAGCAAATGCACTAGCCGATTGGAGGGCTGCCGCCATGAAGATTGCCGATTTGAAAATGGAACTCATTGTTATGAAGTACAGACCAATATTTCTCTGGAAATGAATTATGAGAAAAACTCGATCAGAGGTAGGAAGAGAATGCTGCAACGAGTGAACGAATCGATCAATCAATCATGAATGAAGACATCACTACCTCCAAGGTCTGTTGACTGAGATGATATCGTCGAGACTCAAAATTATCGTCACATTCTGCTATGTACGGAAGTACGAATTGCGGTAGTAGGGTATCCCCGACCTGGTGAGGCGATGACGTACTTTCACTACGTACGTCTATTGATTTCTTTGCTTCCATTACGCCTACCCGGGTGTCGGAAATCCAATAAGAGACCAGCGGTCATTGTTTCGACTGCTAGAGACTATACCGGTAGGCTGCATCCTATTGACCTATCTTTCTTATCGTGTTGAGTTTGGAAGTCAGGAGTATTCTTGCCACACTCTTACCTCTATGAAAAGTGAGCGACTCGACGTTGGCATCAGACGTGCACGCATAGACCACACGTACACGAAACAAAATATGCTATTGACCAATCAAAAACTATAATTTTCGAACGCCGGGCGACTAGATTTTGGGATGCACGTGATTTACTTTTTTGGTAGACGCGCGACAGGCTTGAAGTCCGCCAATGGCCTCATAGGCATGAGAAACCCACTTCGAAAGTGGAGTTTGCTTTGCGATTGCCTTGTGACTCCTCGATGATTCTTCCACATCGCCTTCTGCCAAAAACTGATGTCGGCGGCGACATTCCGAGTGACGCAAAATTGTTCGAATGCTTTTCTGACAAGCTTTATTCGTCCTTCTCCTGGCGCAATTGGCGTTTCCTGCATCCAGTCATAAAATGTACCTGCTCTAAGTTTGAAAACCCTCCCAATATTGAAACGCAATAGAATACAATATATTACTAAACTAACATGTCGCGCATCTCCAGAAATATCTTTGCATTCGCTGTCATCTTTGCTTCTAGCGTACAAAAAGACGCCGCAGCCTTTTCTCCAACGGTAACATCGACTCTGTCGTCCAAGCCATCGATACCCGCTAAATCAAGTGCACAGCGTGCTGTCAGCAGCAGCCTCGCCGTAAGCAACTCTATAAATCTTTGTGATGATAGGGATTACGTCCAAATACTGGAAGACAAACTCATTCACTTTTCCAAAATTGACGATGACGATGTGAGAAGAAATGATTTCGAAGCGTTCGTGACGGGCCGGTTACAAGAAGAACTTGCGTTCACGAATGCCGCCGCGAAGTCCACCGTCGAACGACTGAAGCTTAAAAGCTTGGACTTCGTCAAGGCAATGGACAAGACTATTTTGAAACTTGGTCAATCGGCACAAGATCAAGGTTGGGAAAGTCACGTCACGTCGGGGTTTCAACCGGTACCGAAGGGTGGAAATGATATCTGGCCATATGTGGACATGCTTATTCAGTTCAAACTCTTGATTTCAAACATGGAACGAATGTCTCACAAGAAACCAATTGCTGCTAAAAGCAATGGATGCAAATGCACGGGATGCCCAGGTCTTAATTCGTGCAAAGACGGGAAAAATAAAAAGGAGATGCCCAATCTGTAGGAGGTTGTAGCAGCCGTACAACAATAGATAGCATGCAAATAACAATAGGGAAAAAATATTTGATAGTTCACAAGATGTCCAACTCCAATTAAATCATCGAGCTTGCAGTTATTCCACCTCTGTAGTTATTTTCTATTCTATTGCCAACAATTGCCTTGTAGCCCAATCATGACTAAAGAGTAATAATACTAGTAGTAGGAAGGTAGTATAAGAACATGCCAGTAATAGAATTGGCTTTCTCTTGTGTCAAATGATGAAACCAACTGCCTAGTAGCAGTATTTAGAATTTATATTGACTCTTGCCACAAAGTGTCTTTGTGACCAGCAGGAAGTTCACAGTGCTAGATCATGGAAAGAAGGGCACTATACTGAAATGGGAAAAAGTACCAATGATAGTAGTGCTAGTAGTCCCTGAAAAAATTATGTATTCGTCCAACTCAACCAGTTCCACCAGGAGTTCCATGTAAATAGTAGCAACAAATTGCTACAAGTGGAAATCCAATAGGTACTACTAGTAGAGCATCATAGTACTACTAGTAGAAAAATACATTATCAAGTTTAAAAAAAATGCTTGAAGGCTTTTGGATTGTGACCCTCTACTAATAAAATGTTGGCTGTACTGAAAAGGAGCAAGCAATTCTTGAAAATTGATTCCTTATTCTTTACAACAAGTAAGAAGATATTTTGTTCTTTCCAGCACCCACAGGATGCAAAACCTGATGTATGAATCAACTGATTTTGCAGCTAGTAGTGTCGCCAGGAGTAGTACACACCAAGATGTGAAATTCTGGTCACACAAGACGAAAATAGTAATGTACTCTTCTTGTTAAGCAGCTAATTGGGATAGCCACTGATAAGAATGGTAATGGTTTGTTTCAAGAAAAAATTGAAAAGGAAAGTAGTAACGATGAAAGGCAGAACTACAAAAAATGCAGTACTGAACATTGTTGCAGTGTCGTTTTTGTGCAATAGATTTCAAGAAGTGTGTTCAAACAATTGTTGCCAGGAATAAGAATTACTAGTGGTTGTACTGAAGTAGTCATATTATCCACGAAGATCCTCCCCTAAAAATAGGAGCATATCATAGGTGAATGTTCTGCACAAAAATATTGCATATCTGAAATGATGTAGCATTGGAATGAATGATTTGCTTTTATGATACAAGTACGTCACACAAACGGGATCCATGGTGTTGCGCATTTCGCGCGGTCTATACCCTTAAATTTTCTGGTCCTACCGTTAG